AAAAATATTTTCTTCGTTGCAGCAGGTAATTTCCTTGGTAGTGAAAAAAGCAGGTAATGGAGATTCAGGAGAAATGGAAGTAACTAAATAACTTTGAGATGCAGGCATATTTTCGGTTCAGACCAAGCTTTTTTTGATGTTTTTGCACCTTGAACGAGTTGCTTAACTAGATACCTGTTATTTTTTTGTGTTTCTTAAATTTACTCAAACTATTGCGGGTTAAGATAGATTCTTAGGACTTGAAAGTTGTTTTTGGGTTTAGAAGATCTTGGACCTTGGAAGAAATCCATGAAGAATATTCGATCCCGTAGCAAAAGGTCGTGGTCCCTGATACGTTTTTTATCGGTTCGTAAGTAGTTGTGATTTATAGTTGAAGCTCGGTCCCGTTGTGAGTTGTTGTGATACTTGAAAAAATCAAATTCTCCCGTCAAGAGGTTGTGACCTTTAAATCAGACTATACGTTTTTAAGAAATATCGATCCATCAAGTGGTCGTGATCCTGCGAAGAAGATGTCCGATTTTATCGATCCCATTAAGTAATCATGATCCTTCGAAGAAACTATCCATTCTTATCGGTCCCATTGCAAAATGGTCGTGATTCTTAAAAGAACAAATTCGTTTTATCGACCCTTCGAAGATGTCCGATTTTATCGATCCTTCAAAGAAGATATCCGTTCTTATCGATCCCATTAAGTGGTTGTGATCCTTCGAAGAAGTATGATACCCGGTCTTATCGATCCCATCAAATGGTCTTGATCCTTCGAAGTAAGATATCGATCCTATTAAATGGTCGTGATCCTTCGAAGGAAACTGTCCATTATTATCGATCCCATTGCAAAATGGTCGTGATCCTTCGAAGATGTCCGATCTTATCGATCCTTCAAAGAAGGTATCCGTCCTTATCGATCCCATTAAGTGGTTGCGATCCTTAGGAGAAGAAAGATACCCGGTCTTTTCGATCCCATCAAATGATCGTGATCCTTCGAAGAAGATATCGATCCCATTAAATGGTCATGATCCTTCGAAGGAAACTATCCATTCTTATCGATCCCATTGCAAAATGGTCGTGATCCTTCGAAGATGTCCGATCTTATCGATCCTTTGAAGTAGATATCCGTTCTGATCGATTCCATCAAATGGTCTTGATCCTTCGAAGAAGATACTCGGTCTCGATCCCATCAATT